ATAGCTGAAACTATATTGTGACATTTTATAATTTTTATCACGTAACTCTGGAAAATTTTTAAAGTGTCCTGCAGCACTATTCGTTACCGGATGCTAAAGCGTTGAGAATGTGTGGTGCATTGTTTTGTGGAATTTTTGGAGCTCTGCACTAGTGAAACTGCCAACAACAATATTATCTAACTTTAACGATAAATGTTATTTCTTTGTGAAAATAATTGTGCAAAATACAGTAAACCACAAAATCCTCGCTGTGGTTTCCCTTAGAAATCAGATTGTAAGAAATTTTGGAGATGTAATGTAGACATTATGTTTCCAAATCTCCCTTAAATATTATTTATTAGTTTCAACTTATCAATAAGCGTCTCTTTTCTTGTATTTTTTTTTATCTACTATTAGTCTGATTTTCTTATTTGATGAAAATAAATGCTTAGCGTTATATCTGCCCTTTCAGACGAAATATATCTCTCGCTTCGACGTTTTACTGACTCGAAAGTTTTAAAAAGTTTTTTTAATGTTCCTTTTTATATATAACTATGAATTCTTGACACGAGTTGGTATTAAGAAACGGAGAGCTGTATCTTAAAATGTAGAGTTAAGCAAATTTTGCTTATGATTTCCATCGCAAAACAAACATTTTATTTTTCATTTCAATTTCTGATTACATGAAAATATTATTTCTCTATTTCTGATCACATTTTTTTAGATTACAAAACAAAAAAGGTCTTTACTTCAAATCATTCGGTAGTCCCAGATTTTCTATTATAAAATAATTCCATTTCAGTACCCAAATTGAGGTCGATCTCGCTTATTATTGAAAACACTTTTGTGTTTTATAAGTACTTATGTAAGTATACTACCTAAATTTCACCTTTCCCTTGTTATGTATGCTGGGGTTCCACACCTACGTTATGGATATTCCAAGGATTCGCACGAAGTTTTACGCTCAGTATCGCCAGAACAAATCTGAAAAAATTGGAAGATATTGCACACAAAAAACAGTAGAACGAGGGAAAAATATTAAAGACGCTGAATTTACATTCAAACACATTTAAATCGGGTTTCTCCAAACATTGATTGGTCTTTTAATTTTTACATTATTGCCGAAAAAAAGCGTGTTTGATGATATCTTACAACCTTGGTAACATAAAGTCGTATTTTTTATTACCTCTAGCGGAAATCTGAATGTTGCATTTGACAGCTGTCATTCCATTACAATTGCTAACCATGGACGCTTGAAAGGCAAAATGGGATAAGCGACACTGTTGGGTCATATTTAATTTTAAATATCGTTGGAATTAGAAACATTAGCTGATTCCAACTGTATATAAAACTTAATATGACCAAAAGTGTCGCTTATCCCATTTTGGCTTCCAAGCGTCTATATAATGTATCACTGTTTTGAGTTAGGGATTGTATGGCGGGTGCCATAATAGACAATTCTAAATTACTGATATGAGCCAAAACATATGTTCAAACGTTTATAACCCTTTTTTATAAATTGTAGATTGATCATATTTGATTTTTTATTTCATAAAATAAAAAATCAAAAAACCATAGTTTTTGATTTTGCCTGCCACATATAACATGTTTTATTACCTAAAAATAAAAGTGCGTCCTCTTTTTTTTCAATATCAAGCGACGGAACGAACAAGTCGTGAGCCTAATGGTAAGCTACTCGCCTGTCCATAACAGTTGCAGTGCCACTCAGAGCTTTAAATCGCAAAGATCTGAGGGGCATTGACACTGTGCCCGTCATCTTGACACAAAAGTTGACAAGTCCCATGCGCCTGTAATTTTACCAGCTGACTTGCCCTTCAAAACCGGAACGCAGTAATGCTAACATTACTGTTTGGTAGCAGAAATAGGTAAGGTGGCAGTACTTTCCTGGACGAACTCTTTCACAAGGAACTCTACTGCTGCTAAATTAATACCAATAAGAATTAATAGACGTCGGCTAAAATCAGTAGACCTACTATTAAAACAGTACTTACTCCTGGGAACCCTAATTACGCTTCAACATTTACATGCCGAATGGAGTGAAATTCCCTGCCTGAAATTCCCTGACTTATTGCCTCAAAGATTGGGCCTTTTCGAAAAAAGACGGCGTCACTACTCTCTATACTACTTTCTAGTCCTAACAGCATCCTGAAAACGTTTGCGGCTAAGGTCGATGCGCCGATGGTTCCTCATTTCGTCCAGGTTCTGGTGAGGTGATGGGGTAATCGGCGGTGCCTCGAGCGTAATAATGTGTGTTTTTATGTTTTATGTTTTGTCTTTGTGTTTACTAACAATAGTCATAAGTTTAAAAATGTGTGTATTTCACTAACCAGTGGGCCTTGGATGCCAAATAAATGATTTATTCACTATTATTATTTTCAAGACGAAAGTGAACAGGCGTTATTTAGGTGTTCATACTCTATTGTCGACATCATCGTCACGTCCTAACAGATGAGATGGAGGTAAAATGCAATTTTTTTAATAAGAACAAGTAACGCAAAATGGAATTGTTTTTAGACATTATGCATGATTTCTGTATTTTCACTATTATACGCGTTTATTGATAAGTACTGTCTAATGTACATATATTTATATAACTTATAAGCGTAATTAAATCACTCGGAAACTATTTGTACAGAATGACGTAATATTGCCACACACAGTGTCCCTTATATAACTAAAAGTACTTAAGCGATAGAAATAGTCAATTTAAATAGAAACGAGTATAAATAGAAGGAGAAATATTCTCTATTAATTGCCAAACACCTGTAGCGATTAGGCGCGCGGACGCTAATTGGATGTAGCCACGCTGCTCCCGCGCAAATCTCATTCTATGCCAAGGCGGATAGCCTTTTAACTGACAAATGTTACACGTTTCTCCATATTCATATTGTAATTTCCAATGTACCTACCTAATATTTGGAGTTTCTAACCCTTTCTCCAAGGTTGCCAGACTAATATCTTTGTAATTCTTAAAGCTCATGTAATTATATTGCAGAATTTTATTTTATTATTATTTAAAGATGCGTTACTATGTTATTTACTTAATAAATTACATAGTAACGCATCTTCAATAATTATTTGGACAGGTAAGGGGTTTTTTTATTTTTTATATTATATCAAGTTACGGGACAAACAAGTCATGCGCCTGATGGTAAGCTACCTACACACCTGTCCATAACAGTTGCAGTGCCACTCAGTGCTTCAAATCGCAAAAATCTGAGGGGCACTGCCACTGCGCCCGTCACCCTGAGACATACGTCGACAAGTCCCATGTGCCTGTAATTTCACCAGCACCCTTACCCTTCAAAACCGGAATACATCACTGCTTGGCGGCAGAAATAGGTAAGGTGGCAGTACTTCCCTGGACGAACTCTAACTGTAAAAATACAATAAAAGTTTAAATACTGGGCAGTAAAACTAGGATTAAATTATAAGAATAAAATTGGGTTCCTGCGGCAAGGTACCCAAGATTCTGGCAGTGTTCCCTCTTTGTATAACTATGCTTAATATGTTGGGCTTCCGGCCCGTGGGTTTACCAGGCAGTATATTAATTTGTTTGGTAAAACAGGCATACTGAGCTTAAGTATGTGGATCTTCACGTACTGTTGGAATGGTTGCCATCTTTTATACATAGAAAAAACTGATATGTGTCTAGCATCCGCCAGCTTGAAGATTCGAAAATCAGAGAACTGTACGCTGTTGCAATCAGTCTGCGTCGAGCAGAGTCATTTTGTTCAAATTTCAAGAAATACGCCATCGTGTGTATTTAGAAAATGCAGTAATTACCAAGTTAATGTAAATAAAACAAAAAAATTATTAAAAATGGGTTCCTGTGCCATAGCACGATAATTCAAGTCACTGATATTCAAATTGTAGAATGCTTTTATAAGACTTTTTTTTGAAAAACGATTTCGACAGCTTTTGTAATATATATAATACCATTTTCCTTGATTTGAGTTTTCAAATTGTATATACATTTATATTTTATTTATATATTTAGCGAATATACATTCAGAACATACATTATTTTCATTCACTTTGTCACTAATCATTATGGAATTATTTTCAGGTTGATCTATAGATCGTTTAGTATTGGATTCATCGTCGTCATTTATTACTCGTTTGTTAGAAGATCAATTTAGGTCTTTTGGGGAGGTCTATGTCCAGCATTGGACGTCTTTCGGCTGAAATGATGATGGTGATGAAAGAACAGGGACACAACAAACAAATTAATTTATTTTACTTTAGAAATAGCATTGTTTCAAGGTTCTACTTGGCTTATAAATATTTTTCACGTTTGTTTAATAACAAAATAAATTTGTTTTTCTTTTCAATTTTGTTTTACTTCTTACCTACTTTTCGGAATGTTCATTTTGTTCAACAAAATCCTAATCATTTATGCCCCGGCAAACCAAACGACGCGCGATTTTTTTAAAAGTTTATATTGGTTGGCGACAGTTTTCAAACGTCGATTTCTATGAACGTAACATATCTTGTGTATAAGATCATTCTGCTCAAGTTTCAGAATAGTCTGTAGCCTGAAACTTTTCTGGCAGGTCAATCATTCAGCTGTTTTACTATTGTTTGCTCAGACAATGAGTTATTTTTGTGTTATAACTGCTTGTTCATTTCATATGAGAAGAAATTTAAATATGTGCTGTGTGCTAGGAAATAAATCATGCTTTAAGAAAATAACGTCGATAATAAAATGATGTCTTTAGTGCGTCACGTGTCACTTCAGGTGTTCGACATTGCCTTCAGGGAATGGTTTTTATAACCTAGGTACAAAAATAAAGGTTATAAGTTACTTAGCGATTATTAGTGAAAGTAATTAATATTTTATGATGAAGTTTATAGCACTTCTGAAGCACTTATTGGCGCTAATAGTATAATTACTTGCAGCTATGTAGTACGAGAGTCGATGAGCTTTAGTTACGTGTCATTAGTTTTTACCAGATATTATCACAAATTTGAACTTTACAGTATTATCGCAGGGTTTAGTGCCATTGAACAAATAAATTAAAATCGAAAAACAATAACATTGCAATAAGACTGACTCTGTGGCCGAACGGTTACCATGCCGCACTGCCACGCAGAGATACTAGGTTCGATTTCCGAGCCGGGTGAAATATTTGTATGGCCTACATTTATTTCTCTCGTGGGTTGGGTGTAATTTGTGGTTGACTATGTGTGTGTCCATGGCACCCGCGATATGTCGCGGGTGCCATGTTAAATAGGGTTCCCTAGTGCGGGGCTATGTTGAGTGTGTGCGTTATTATTATTGCAATAATTTTTTTCAAAGGCGACCTTTTTCATTCGCTACAATGAACAAATCACTTCATAATCAGATTTATTAAATCATTATATGCTCATGCACTAAAAAAACGTAATAAATAATTATTTATTTTTAGTATGAAGGTGTAAATGTAATTATATTCACGTGTAAGAGCTACAAATTTATTACGGCCTCATCATACATAATACGTTGTAGTAAATAAGCCGGAAGTACATAGGTTTAAATATAAATGAATTTAAACTATGAGTCATAGTCATGAATACATAAAGATACTTCTTTCATTACTTGTTTTATGATACTTGGATAATACATTATGTATATTTTTAAAGACACTCTCGTAGCATGACTACGCATGATAGTCGCGACGCGCACTATAAAATTGGAATAAGCGCGCCCTATTAGCTATCTAAATTACATCTGATTGAGACAGCCAATAGCGCACGCTTATTTCAATTTTATCGCGCGAGTCGCGACTATCATGCGTAGCCATACTACGGGGGCTGTAGTAGCGATAGACGGTTTTTATATTTTACTTGGTTACCATAGCGTTATAAAGTCTCAGTACAAACTTTCTATAAACAGTTTGTAGGACCAAGTTTTCTTTTTATTATTGTTATCATATTTTCCTATTTTTTCTATTGTTTATTTTTGTATTTATGAACGAATTGTGTAATAATTAAATATTTATTGAATTGATATTCAATTTTTTTTTTGTGAAATTACTCCACTAGTTTGTTATAATTATTAATACAAAGATAGAACACTCAGAAAAAAATCCTTCGATCCGGTCGGATTCGAACTGATGTCTTCTTGCATACCGTGCCAGACGCTATACCAACTAAGCCACGGAACGATCCAACGGACCTCACGAATTTTTCTATGTGCTTGCGTCGTGTCTTTGTATTTGGTTTTTCAACGACTTTTTAGTCGTAGTCTATGACAAATCTATGAAAGATTTATCACCCAGTTAGTACTTTTACAGCTACCAGTCCTGGCGAGAGATGTCGCTATTCACTGTATTAATTAAATTTTTATTGAATTGATATTCAGTTTTTTTTTGGGAAATTATTCCATTAGTTTGTTATAATTATTTGATATTTAATAATTATGTAACATTTAATAATTGTTTGTATTTTATAAAGCATTGTGCATGTCAAATAAATAAGATTTTATTTCATTTTATTTTTTTATTCTAGGAGAACTCTAAAGCACTATGGTAAATTTCTACTGTCTTTTGAAGGCAATTAGTATTAATAGACGGGGAAGATAAATGGCAATTGTGTCCGATGGTCATGCAGTAAACAATTCGTCTTTATTTTCTTTTATTGTTTTATTACTTTAGACAATCTTGAGAAAGTATGGCATTAGTCCAGAGTCGAAGTGTTAATTAATAACTATTTGGATGTAGGAAGTTATTATTGATTGCACTTGGCCTGTACGCCTGAAGTGCAACCGGCGATTATCCGGCAAGCTTTTGATATATTGACCTTTGGCAATAGTTACAGAAAACGCGGAACGCTCTTGTAGATATGTCACAGAATTTGTTTTATTCGAGTCATATTTTTGCTTTATAGACTTGAACTGTCAGTTAAATTAATGCAAACTATTTATTAATATTAGTTTATATTAATTAATCAGACAAATAGGTAAAGAAGACAGTAAAATGTAAATGCATGGCACATCTTTATTTTAAATTTTTTACTATTACAGTTTTCATAATGTTAAGACGTTTATTTATTCCTAACTAATTATCTACATATTATGAGGATTAGGTAAACAGAATAAAACCTTATTCTGAAATTAGATTTACTTTAAATTATTTATATTTTTGTTGCTTAGTACATTTTGCTGTGTTATATTCATAATAATCTTAATTTAAGTTACCTTAAAAGACATATTAATGATAATGAGAATAACGAACACACTCATAGCCCCGCACTAGGGAACCCCTGTATCGCGGGCGCCATGGATACACACAAAGACAACCACAGATTACACCCAAACTCACGAGAGAAGTAAATGTAGGCCATACAAATATTTCTCCCGGCCCAGGACCTCTGCGTGGTAGTCCAGCATGGTAACTATTCGGTCAAGGAGGCAGTTAATTAGGCAGGCAAGCAGTTATTATGAATTGCACTACATAGACACGTACATACAGCCAACTACAAGCTGGGCTGTACGATGTGGACTTAAGACCGTCACAAGCTTCGTATATCAATGCCAAATTTCGTTCAACTTCACTCTTGAATTTTAATTTTACGTGTGAAAGTAGTTTTGTCTGTACGTATGTCTGAGTTAGAGTAAAAACTGCCGCAACTTTTAGAATTTTCTTCAAAATTTTCTATTTGAAGAATATTTTCATAGAAACTCATGGAAATCTCCTAACCTTAAGGAAAAATTAAGATGAAATATTTTAAGGTGAGTACTATTTTGTCTGACTAGGAGAACTAGTTGACAAACGTGTGACACGTTGTATCTTGTTACAAAGCGTATCTACTTAGCTTGTTTTACCCCTGTGAAATATGACCTTACCAATAGCAGTTAAAAGCGTTTTGCGTTGTTCGACATCGCGAGTAGAATTCAGTTCAGAACCAACCTGGGTGACATAGTCGCGCGGTTGCGATCAGTCGCTCATGCCATCCAGCTAAAAGGACTCGTGTTCCTTATTCTTTGGTTCTCGATAGCTTATTCGATCATTCAATATTTGTGAGGCGCATTCGCTGAATTGAAAGAAAATGGTGAGGGGAAATTTTTAAAGAAAAAGAAGACATTTTATGGATTTTGAAAAAACTTTTTAGTGAATATCTTATACATATACTGCAGTGATATATATACTTATGTATATGTATATTTTTTTAAATTGACATATATTTATTTGCATACAATTTTTGTCTACATATTTGTTGTGTGATTTTCAGGATGAACTTGGCAAGGAACAGATCGACAGTAAGCATTAGCACATTTTATCTTACCCATTATTGCAGTAAATAAATACCACATGTTGACAGCTAAGCGCATAAATTGATAAATTTGGGCTGCTAAATTCTTATCTTTGTTCCCTTCAAAAGGCATGCTTGAAAATGTTCAAATAATAAACCTCTATCATAAAATTGTAAAGAATACATATTCTATTTTTTTTTGTATGTTTTTAAATAAGCGCAAGTTGGGCTTAAATTATTCAGAACGTTCAAGTTTCACATTCTATTTATGTGTTCAAATTCTATTTTATACATAAAAGACTTGTGATCGGATTATACATTTTAATGGTAGGGTATTTCAAAGTTAAATGAATATTATAATAAGTTCTTGGAATTTATTTCATAAGCTTTATTTCATCCTTCATTCAGTCGGGTTTTTCGATTAATAGTTAGTCGAATTTAATGAAAAATAGGAAACTTTTTATTTCACCGCTCTAGCCGGACTTATAATTAGAAATAGTAAATGATTAATTAATTGCTGGTTCTGACAATAAATAGTGGCGTCTTAAAGAATAGTTTTCACTGACTCATTCAGTAAGTTTGAGTAGTAAGAAAAATATTTCTTTGTATCAATTTGTAGGTTTTAATTTATAAAAACCTTAATTCAAAAAATCTAAAAGTAACAGAAAATGATTAGAGTATGTGAAGACTAAATGTAAATATTTACTCTTTAGCAGATTAACAATCAAAACTTTTTAGCGTTTCTTGTTGAATAATTTTCTTTCAATTAATTGAGAATTGAACCTAACAGTTCACTGTGCAATAGTAATTATAACTTTTTTTTTAAAAAAAAAAAACCAACTTCAAAACTTTGTGGAATTACATTTATTTGCCATGTTTATTGAAATCGGTTAATGGAAAGTGAGTGAAATCCAATAAAACGGATTCATCCCCTGTTTTCCACCCTTAAAGGTGGAATATTTTCTTCCAATTTTAATGGGACTTCTACTGAGATACCCCCATTAAAAAAAAAGAATTATCGAAATCGGTTCACAGATTCTCCTTTTTTAAAGTCGGTTAAAATTTTGGAATTGGCAACTTATTTTCTCAAAGTGACATCATTTATAGCTATCATTTTGTAATTAAAAATCCGAATATATGTGTCATGAATTGATACAGTATATAGTTATATAACTTTCCAGTCTTGAAAAAGGCGTTTGAGGCATTCGATCAGGAAAAAAAAGGCTGCATCGGCACTGTGATGGTGGGCACCATCCTCGGCATGTTGGGCCACCAAGTTGACGAGAATACTCTTAAGGAGATCATCAATGAAGTCGATGAGGACGGTAAGTCTCAAATAATGGTGTAAAAATATTTCTGTTTATAATGTAAGAATAATCTCAGTACAGAGTACTAAAAAAAACCGGCCTCAAAAGTACGTGGAATTACGTCTATTTGCTAAGTTTTACTGAAATATCCCCTAGTTCGCCAGTATACAGGACTTGACACTGGAGATAATAAAAAATCGGTTCTCACTATTCAAAGTATATGGTGAGAAAAACGCCTTGAATTGGAGAAATAGCAAAATCAACCATTAAAATAATTGCTCCTAAATTAATGTTAGGCGCTATTCATGAAAATGAATCTTCATGCGCGAACAGCCACCCTTCGAGGTGGATGATTTTCTTCAAAATGAAATGGGATCACTATGGAAGTTCCCCCTTTCCAACAAAAAAAGAATCATGAAAATCGGTTCACAAATACCGGAGTTATCGCGTAACGTACATACAATAAAAAAAGAAAAAAGAACATGCAGTCGAATTGAGAACCTCCTCCTTTTTTGAATTCGGTTAATAAATTTAAAGACATAATAACTAAACTAAGTGTACTGTGGTAATATTTGGTCTGATATAAAAAGTGATTAAAGTAAAAAGAAAATTAGAGGTACTTTTAAAATAATAATAACTTAGGATGAATCTTTTAGGCCTTGGCAGAGACAAGAGTCTAAAATAGGTATCCAAATTAATAATAATAAGTAATATATTATTTATAAAGCCTCGCATTAGTTAAATTCTGTAGCGCAGGTGCCATGGACACACACATAGGCAACCAAAAATTACGCTCAAACTTACGAGAGAAATAAAAATAGGCCTTATAAATATTTCTCCCGGCCCAGGAATCGAAACTGGGACCTCTGCGTGGCAGACCATCTTGGTAACCGTTCGGAGGTTGTTAATAAAAAATAGTTTTTTTTTCTTTTTTATAATATCTAGTAACGGGACGAACAAGTCGTGCGCCTGATGGTACGCTACACGCCTGTCCATAACAGTTGCAGTGCCACTCAGAGCTTTAAATCGCAAAGATCTGAGGCTCACTGCCACTGCGTCCTGAGACATACGTTGACAAGTCTCATGCGCCTGTAATTTCACCAGCACCCTTACCCTTCAAAATCGGAACACAGTAATGCTGACATTACTAGTTGGCGGCAGAAATAGGTAAGGTGGCAGTACTTCCCTGGACGAACTCTGTCACAAGGAGCTCTATTGCTACTAAAAATCTCAGAAATAATAATAATAATAATAATAATAATGTGCCAGATAACTACACCAATTGCCTGGTAGGCAATTCCTAAGTACCAGAGTAATGGAATTCACTTTGGGGTACTGTCTAGAACACCCAGACCAGAACCAATTTAGAAAAATTCCTTTCTTAAATTGGTCTTTTACCGGAAATCAAATCTGAGTCCTCCTTATCCGGTGCCTACCTTGCAAACCATTAGGCCACCGAGGTCAACTCAAATTTTATTATTACAATCGATTTAAAGTATGGTCACAATATTATAACACAATCTCAGTACAGAGTGCTAAAAAAATCGACCTCAAAAAGTTCGAGGAATTACATTTATTTGAAAAAAATTTTATTGAATCGGTTACCGGATAGTGCACGAAGCCGGAATCATCCCCTAGTTTGCCACCCTACCCTACCCCATTGGACCACTACTGAGGTACTCTCTTTCCGACAAAAAAGAATCATCAAATCAAATCATCATTTACAAAAGAGGTATCGCGTAACGTACATGCAAAAAAAACCGAGAACCTCCTCCTTTTTTTGAAGTCGGTTGAAAATAAAGATAAATCGTGTTGGAATATCTTGCGCTTTACGTAATTAATCTAAGTTTTTTTAAATTTTGCTTTATAAAAGACGCGGATACGCAAAGGACGTTAAAATTCACTATTTTATTCCAGTCACGCGATTGACCTAATTTACGGCCATTAGGTCATTCCACTATTTCGTGGACTGCGTCCAACTAGAAAACAACAATATTTTTTTGTACAATGGCTAATAAAGTCACTGTATTTCTTATTCTTGACATGTCAAAGAACGAATCAGACAAAGTTTGTAAATATGTTTAAAATAATCATTTATCGATAAACCAAAAAATACGTGTTAAACAACTTTAAGCTCTACGACTACAGAATTAAATAATTTTAGTTACGGTTTGGAAGCCCCGCTGATACTATGTAGTTTGAAATATATACAAGTTATGATAACGTATGCTAATATAGTAAACGAAACTATTATGTTCTACCAAATCGAGTATATATGTTTTTCAAAGAAGCCAACATACACGATTTAGATCCGATAAAAGAATTTATTTTCTATGTGTAACAATCGCGAAAATCTAGGAACTTCATATATTATAGAACACATAAATATGTATATACATATAAATAATTTTAGCCCGGAAACCCGCCCTTGATCTCCGACATCTCTTTACGAATACGAAACACTTAATCATTAGAATAATGTTTTCCTTCCGTTACAAATAGATATAAATTACCCCTGAAGTGCTCGAGATCTCGGAAATAAATTGTCATATTTACGAATGAAAATATTTCGTTATCTGATAGCGCAACACTAGTAATAACATTGGCTTAGGAAATAACATATCCGTTATTCCTGATTGTTGTTTATAGATTAACTATTACGACTAGTAAAACTCTCGAGGAGATACTAGTGCTGAGATTTCTTAATACGAATTTTGACTTCCCTGAACGGTAGAACTTGAGCCTTTTCATGGCAAGAGTAAATAGACATTATATAGGTGTGCGTCATCGTCGACACTTCGTCACTTTCCGTCAGATGAGATGGAGGTTAAATGCGCACTTAAAATTTTTAATTAAAAAAAAAGGTCAACTTCGGCGCAAAATAACGAAATAATTGCTTACCAGAGCTAAGCAATTATTTCGGTTTAACAAAAGTAACTTTCCCTAAGTTTAAGCAAGAAATAACGATGAAGACTTAGCCTTTATTTTTATTTCTAGCTCAAACTTGAAGTTCGTTTTGTAATACGAACAAATCTCTGTCTAAATGGTTTAAGTCATCTTCAAATTTAACAATACTTTTTGTCTCTTGATTATTTAAGCTTTATTTTTAAGTATGTAAGTTTTTATTGCGCTGGCTACTGAAGTTTGGCAATTTATTTAACCTTAATATCTCCGGTCCTAACTGCCAAACTCAGAACGTTTTCGTAAAGGGATAACATAAGGTTCTACTATAAATCAAGATGGATAAGGTTGTAGGGCACTAGTGTGTTAGTATGGGTTTAATGGATTCCCGTTAGCATTATCGCAATCTTAGAGGCAGTATTTTCATTGTATCGAAACATTGTGTACAGACTTGTAACAACTGAACTAAATTTAAAATATATATACACAAAGTACAAAAGTGAATTGTATAATGCATATTATTTATATTTTGTTTCAAAAGCAGATACTTTTGTCCGAGTATGTACCAAAGTAATCTTTATTACACAGTGACATACTATGCGAATACGAGATCAAAATGGGAAGACAAAAACTGAAAAATTCATAATTTTTTGTAGGATGTAAATTCATCCATCACAAAATCCATTAGCAACATGTTACTAGAGAGCTCCTTCATAGAGAAATCCCTGCGGCTTGAACACAAATATATACGCAACCCGTGCCAATAAATTTATTAAACTCTCGACAAGATGGAAAATGCGAGGGACATTTAAAGTCCGACACCCCCTGTTTTGTAAGCCTTAATTACAACGTCAGAAACAAACGAACCATTATGAGATACAAACTTCGTTAATTTATTCATTTTTACAGTCAAAGAGCACATCAAGCTTGAAACTTTTGATTTGGGATCGTTTTTATTGTAAGCGGCGTATAGTTGAATTTAAATCTTAAGTATCCAGCTTGAGAAGCTTTTGACTTTGTACATAATATAATAAGGTGAGAAATGCATATGCATAATGAAAACTTTTGTTCAGGGTTCAGTGAACTCTTTTTATAAAAAAAGTGCGCATTTTAACTCCATCTCATCTGATGGAAAATAATGATGAGGTTTTAGATGTGCATGCTGCACACCTAAATAATGCCTATTCACTCTCGCTATGAAAAGGCCCAAATCATAGCGTTTAGGGAATAAGTCTGCAAGCAGGGAATTCTATCGCCATGCGCCATATAAATGTGGATGTGTAACGCTTCGTGCGGATCTGTGAAATATCCACAGTATAGGTCTGGAACACTAGCCTACTTCTTGTTCTTTTCTTGACAAATCAAATTACATGGTTAGAGTATAGCTTTTTGAACATATATAAGAGACACGCTGGGCCACAACATCACCTGGTGTAAAGCGACGTTGATCGGCGATGGTATACGTTCGTCCAAAAAATACCTATTCACTCCAACCTTAAATAGCCCTAAACTGTATTTTTCTTTGTAATGTATTCTATTCTTTTGCCGTATGCATTAGGGAGAGGGAAGCAAAGCACTTCATTCGAATGGGTGGTAATCAACAACATAAAGACGGAGTAAGAATTGTCAGAATGTAACTTTGCTTAAAATATTCCTTTGCCATTGTAACTCATACAGGGGTTAATTAAAGGAGCTGGATAATGAATATAGATAATGTTTAAGCCTTTACAGTCATTATTTCAAATATTATTTTACGCGTCGTACACAGTACGAAAGACATTAAATTTCCTAATTATTATTTTGCCCTAAATTTACTTTCAGGTTCGGGAATGTTGGAGTTCGAAGAGTTCGTGACCTTGGCTTCTAGATTCATGGTAGAGGAGGACGCGGAAGCGATGCAGCAGGAACTTAAAGAGGCATTCCGGTTATATGACAAAGAGGGTGATTTTCTTGTTAAGACTAATTTGTCCTAAAATTTTTCTGCTATATCACTTCGTTGGCTATATTCGACAACCTCGTAACTCAGTTTTTAAACGAAATCTCTTTAATTATTTTTCAAGCGCAATATCGAGCAATTAAAGCTTAAAATATAATTTCTAGACCGAGATGATTATACATTTATAAAATAAAGCTATTAATCATTCTAGTAGTTCTCGCTTTTGTGCCTACTCAAAAGTTCACATCACGGAGGTGCGAGGTTCACGAATTCAGGCGAAGACTTGTTTATCATAAAACCTTTAATGCTTACACGAGAAGGGAATAGCGTTCAAATTTTTGTATTTATTATTTGTTGTATATCACGTCGCTTTTGGGTGATATAATTAATCTAATACATTACGATTTGTATGTACCAATATAGCTATGCAATTTTTCAGAATATACCATTAGCTTAATTATTTTGGACGCGCTTCTTGCTCATATTCTACACACATATTTGCGGTTGTGAAATGTTCGTATTTGCTTCAGGCAACGGTTTCATCACGACAGGTGTACTCAGAGAGATCTTGAAGGAGTTGGACGACAAAATCAGTGCCGAGGAGTTGGACATGATGATTGAGGAAATTGACTCCGATGGCTCTGGCACCGTTGACTTCGATGGTATGTTGCGTATATGAAAGATAAGATAGTGTAATAGGAATAATAATGCCATTAAATAAAGAAACGATTTGCTAAAAACTTAAAATTAAATGGTGAAAGATTTAAATTTCGTAAACATTTTCGTGTCTTGGGGTAATGTGCACTGGAGCAATGTGCCCAGGATGCTTGCAATGTGGGAATATTTTTGGATTGCTAAACTTATTAACTTTGACGGAAGTAACTGCCGTCGCTGGTCACCGGAGGCTTTAGCAACATTAAATAACAGCTCCTGAACACGAATAAATTATTAATTATCCATAATTTATGTAAAACTAAACGGTTTGATTATGCACATATTAAATTACGAGTGCTTACTGTCTTTTTCTTTTTCGCTATTTTTATTTAATACGATCCTTGTAGCATAATTCAAGATAACTTAATTTAGGTTACTGCTATTTCAGAAAGTAAATTATTCCCTTTGACGAGGCATTTTGCGCGACATTCAAACAATTAGATAAGGTGTGGTTCCTAGGGTCTTTATAAAAGTAAGCTTTGTTTCAGAATTCATGGAAGTGATGACGGGAGGAGACGACTAAAACAATACTCAAAAGGAATATTTTAAAACTTATCAAAAGCTTTAATCATCTTTACCAACGTATCATTTCATGATACTAGTCATTCCATTTTGTCACAAATTTTCCTTTTTTGGAATGTTGACAAAATGGGAAAATATCAAAAACTTAAATTAAATAGTTACATTTTATTTATTTATTAAAATAAAATTGTTATTAAGCCTATTTCCATTATTTATTTATTAAGTATACTTATTTATTAAATAAATTAAGATACATACTTTACAGTTGTTTTTATTATTTAATCTATACTAAACGTTAACAATGCAATATAACAAAGTGTTCATAAGTTGACACCTATGAACATTAATATTTATGATGGTTATTAATAGTTATCGTATTTTAATATAGAAAAGGTGATAGAAATGGGGGTTAAAGTTTTAAAATATCATTTATAGAATTAGTATGAAACTTAAAAAAAATGCAGAAAACAACAGTTACATAACCAAAATATCTATCAATACACTTCTGCTGTCTTGCTGGTAGCTTTTTTCCTTTTGGGGCAGAAAATTGTAAATCCTAGCAGTAGAGCTTATTCTAAAAGAGTTCGTTCTGGGGAGTTCTGCCACTATACCTATTTTTGCCACAAACAGTATGGTAAGCTCCGAGTGTTACTTACCACCAAGGGCACTTGTTGGTCTGGTCACTTGATATATTTAAAAAAAGCGAAATAGAAAAAATCCATTAACAAAGTCTAGAACTTCTTCATTTCTGTGTTGATTCTTTAAGCATTGCCCGCCATAATTCAAATTATTCGTATGCTACTCATTTTCCTACACTCATTCTCTGTAATCAAATACGAATTGGCTTCAATAATAACTCGCAACTTGTTGTTTTTCAACAGTTGACGACGTCCCTGAAGCTCGTGTTCCATTTTAAAATTTTCACTGCGGAATCGGGCAAAAAAAAAAATACATTGTACGATTGTTAGTTATACCTGCTCCACACACGTTGATGTTTTGAGTCGTTTGCGCTGCATCTGTGCCACACCGGAGTTCGTATTTAAAAAAAAAACAGGAACTTTACCAGTATCCCTCATAGACTACGTATCCATGTTTTATTTCAAAGCAAATGTAAAGCTAACCAAAACGAACACAAATGAATGACGCCAAAGTATTGAATTTATAAGCCTTACCATTTTTTTAGATTAGTTTTGCGGCGATTCCATACTTTAATCCCCAATATTAGTAAGTCATATAATTAATATGCAGATGTGAAAGACATGTCAGCTACCTACATAGTTACAAAAAATTAAATGATGATTATATAGATTCAGACTGGATACTGTGTGGAGACTGGACTGCAAAATTGCGTTTTGTTTTGTAATAAATCAAAACATTATAGAGGTTGTAACAGTTTTATACCAATATAATTATTGAATAATTAAAGAAAACGTACTAATGTCTGTAATATAAATTATCATTTGGTGACGTATGTTATGACATAATACAACGTATGAAATCATTGATGGAACGACATGCACTGCTAGCCTGAGCCGGATGAGTATTATAGCAGATGCAAATGGGCTATAAATATTTCAGATGACGCGATGCCTGTGGATTGGGTAGCTGACGGCGTCTACCCTTGCTATAAATGTTATAGACTTGTTTATGTATTTGAATAGAATGCTATCGCTGCCTAAAAGAACATCAGAATGCTGACTTTTTCTTTTTTTTTATTTCATCATCATCATCATTATCTTCATACGTCCTACTGTTAGCTACTAGCCTCACCTAAGGAGAGAGATTGTGCATGGCCCGCCACGTTGATCTAATACGACTTGAAAACTTCACACGAGATTATATACGAAACAATAAAACACAACATTCATAAATTACATTATCATATAAAATTGATTAGGCAGCACCTTGATACTGCGCATTGGGTACAAAAATAAGACTTATTTAAATTTCGTACTCTGACAAATACCATCGATTTCTCAGAAGAACAGAAATCATGGGCGCATTCCTCAGTTGGCACTAAAAGCAATCTGTCTGTACCCTCCCTCGGAGGTGATAAATATTTTAAATTACGGCCGGCTGTGTGAAAGAGTACATTCTTAAAATATTGTTTATTGCGTTATGATTTATCTGTATCAGAAGATAAATGTACAATATTATCATGCAGATAAATAATTACCTATTATAGGCATTTCGGGTTAAATAAAATGAGATTTGATGAGATGTTCATGTGACTGTAACAAAATGAAAAACCTGTATAACGCTATTTAAAGTCAAATAAAAGTACCTTGTAATCTAGTATCTTACACAAATATAGCATAAGCCCATAAGAAAACTACTTCAATAAGTAAAACGTATCAAATCCAGTTCGGCAACTTGAAATTAGTCGTTCTCATGGATGTAGTCAACTGCAAATTTAATGAGAACAATGTATTTTTTACAAGCTTTAAAAATTTAAGTTAAAAGGGGATATTGAAATAGTTTTCAGCTTTTGAATTTTTTAACAGAAAACTTTATACGGGCCGTAGCATCGTTACGCAAACCGTGAAGCGAAACGAGCGACATCGTTACCATTAGCCGTGCATATTGGTATGGTATATATATAAAACTATGCTTACTTGTTAACTTTGATAGATAGGCAAATATCCATAAAAATGCATATATCGTGCAAAGTCCAAGCAACATGTGTAAATGGAAACAGTGGTTAAACTACAGCGCGCGCGTACAGTTGATTCCGCTCCATGGTCCATATATCACACTGGAACATTAGCACGTGAGTGATACTGAGCCAAATGTCAGAGCGTTTCAATGACGGCCTTACGAGCAATTAATACAAACTAATGGCCAATATCTACGAGAACGTAAATTCTGTGGGAATAATGTATGCAAAGGCGATTTACGTGTTTAACGACGTAACCTCTAGTTTGCTCCATTTGATGGTTTGAATGTTTTAATTAAAATCAACCTTCATTTAATTACGAAAGAATATCATACGCTTTCGACTACAATTTTTTTTTGGGTTAATTACCGGAACTGTCTTTTTTTGTGGTTTAAGGAATTATTTTCCCGTAATGCCCATTACGATAGGCTCCATTTTATGACCCTAGAAAACCATCGCCCAAAAATGGATTTGTTTCCTTTCCCTATTTGTGTATCTTTCATAGACATACGTCCTATTTATGGAGCCATAACAGAAGCTTTGTAGATTTACAACAATACATAATTGGTTTAAAGTTTCCGTCTATACTTCACCACCATAAATCAGTAAGGCTGAGTTATGGATTAATGGGTAGACAGAGACAGCGCAATCGCAGGTGCAGGTATGCTAAGATCCGATGTCACAAAACCTGCAACTAGTGTTGCCTAAAATACGTCTTGGTCTGGCAGTATTTGGTCTTGTTCTGGCCTTTTCGCAATACCAAAATCACCTAATTTAATTAAAATCACCTAAAGCAAGGCCAAGACCGACCCTGTAAGGTTCAATTCAATCAATCAATCAGTCAATTTCAATTGTTTCAAACACAAGCGTTTGAAATATTTAGAACAACAATTTCATAGAGTCGCTTTGATGCTAATGTTATTATTAAAATATTTTTTAATACATGTTAGTAATACTTTCAAATATTGTTGTACTCTTTCTACGGCTTGGGGTTACGAATCAGAAGACTGAAAATACATTTGCCCGAAATAACGTTTTCATGAATTTCCGAATGTATTCGAATATAAATATATAATAATAATCCCGAAAGTATTTTTTGGGGTTTTTTTTTTTAATATTACAAAACAAACCTAAGCTAACTTCAAATTCAAATTCAAATTCAAAATAATCTTTATTTCATAGGTAAGCATTATTACACTTGAAATCGTCACAATATTAAACTCTACCGCTCATTCGTAAGGCAGATTCCCCTGAGAAGAATGAGCAAGAAACTCTAGGGGTTGCTCTTTGTAAATAAATTTACCATATTTTTTTATTTATTTGAAACATCAGAGATCGAGACTACCTCCATGAGCTAAACGGATTACTACCACGGATTTTTGTCATCCAAGTACGCAGAAGTTGTACAATAACCTTTAGTATAAAGTTTTTGTTTCACTATAGTTTTAAACCTCGTGAAAGGCAAATTTTGTATATCAACCGAAATCTTGTTATAGAAGCGTATACATTACCCCTTAAATGATTTTTTTGACTTTGTGAAGACGACTATCAAGAAAAGCTAGTTTATTTCTATTCCTCGTATTAATGTTGTGTCTGTCACTATTTTTCATAAATAAATTACTATTCCTTTTAACATAAATTACATTCTCATAAATGTTCTGTGAGGCTAGTGTAAGAATGTTAATTTCCTTAAACTTATCACTCAAAGATACTTTGGGGCCCAGATTGTAAATTGCTCTAACTGCACGTTTCTGCAGGACAAAGATTCTGTTGATATCGGCGGCATTACCCCAAAGCAAAATGCCGTATGTCATTAGACTGTGAAAGTAGCTGAAGTAAACCAATCTAGCGGTTTCGACGTCTGAAAGTTTCCTTATTTTTTTAATCGCGTACACTGCAGAGCCGAGCCGTTTTGATAACTTACTTATATGGGGACCCCATTGCAATTTAGCATCTAACGTTATACCTAGAAATACAACTGTATCCACAAGATTCAATTTTACGTTTCTAACTACAATGTTTGTAACCGTCTCTCTAACATTGGGTGATGTAAATTTCACACAATTTGTTTTTGTCTCATTAAGAAGTAGGTTATTAACAGCAAACCAATCAACTACTTTAGACATAGCATTGTTCACATCGTCGCAGGAACATTGGTGCCTTTTAACTTTAAATAATAAGGAAGTATCATCAGCAAACAATACTATATCATGTTTTACACCCTCCATAAGGCTAGGTAAGTCATTAATATAAACTAAAAACAAAAAGAGGCCTAGAATTGAACCTTGAGGGACACCCATGCTAATTGCAGATCCTGACGATCTCGTACCGTTAACATCGACCCTCTGTACCCTACCACGCAAATACGATTTAAGAAGGTCGAGATCACGTCCCGCCACACCATAATGGCGAAGTTTCCTGACCAGTG